AAATCCACAAATTAAGTTTTAAATATCTCTGCAGTAGGATTTTGACAAAACTGAAAGACATTAAAGAATATTAACAACTAAAAATAAAATGAACACATAAAACTACCCCAGGACAATGCCCAAAACTACACTTTGGCCTTGTTTAGTTTACAAAGATAGAAAAATCATTAGTATTTAGAAGTGAGGAGCTGTGATGCCTACCATTAAGCTACCCCTAGTTAGCCATCTCAGCAGGGAAAGCCAAACTCCCCTGCATTGTGCAGAGGGTGTTGTGAAAGTCAGTCTGCTCTGTGAGGCTTTAGAAATCTCCCTCAAGTAATTTATATCAAATGAAGATCCAGTATGCAGAATCATAACGTAAATAATTTTTGCTTGCTTGTCTTATAACCAAATCTGGATATTTAATCTGTGTTGCTCTATTTACATTCCTACTCCATGCACAATTTTATTGTGTCTGGTAAATTCAAGAAAGGCAATATCCAAATGACATTCTAAACTGATAAATCTAGCTATCTGCCCTACAACTGTAGATAACTTCTTACCTGTGTTAATACAGCCTAAAGCAAGGAATGTGTTTAAATTTAACACACGGAATTAATTTCCTACTTTTCATGTTAATATTGCAAGGTAGGAATGTGGACTAAGTTTTTGACAGCTGAGCACACTTGTCCCATTTAAAAATAATTTTTTTTTTCATGATATGAAGGTTAATATCCACCTAAAAAATCCATGGCTGTAAAGAACTGTGATAGCTATGTAGTCACTACAAAACTAAGGAAAAAAGTAGTATTTAGAGTTGCTTCAATGTTAAAATACATTTTAATACAAGTTTCAACCACATTCAGAATTATAGTTTACATATGTACACCTCATTTCAGAGCTTTATTTTTATACCCAAAAAGTATCACTTCAAAACAGACATAACAACCTGTATTCTTTTGCCTTTACTATGAATGCTATCAACCTGCCCTTCTCCTTACAAAACAAATTCACACACTTTGCCATAATACAGCTGTCACACAGTCTTTTTTTTTTTTTTTTTTTTTTTTGTATTCTAGATCCAGGAACAAATTTGAAAGAGTAACATCTCCTGCCAACACCTGTGATGATATACACTTTTTCCTGGCCAGTGAAATCACAGACACTGTGTTAATTTGATTGACTGAACCCATGTGCAGAAATCTCTAAATTATTATACCACATTGTTCTTAGACACACATGTATGTGTAAGAATGCACTGAATGCCAAGTTGATTTTGTTCACCCAGGTATACTTAACAGGCATACTTAAATGAAAACATTACTTTGTGACTGATTCAATGGCTATCACTTATTAAAGCATAAAAAAGGACACTTATGAATGTATGTAAATACATCATTTTACAGACCTTAACTCTGAAATTTCACAAATAGTATATATTTGGCTGAATTTCTGTATAACAAAGTTACTGGTATCAATAGTCGTTTTGAATATACAGTAACCACACATTTCACCTCAGGCTAGTTCTACCCTAAAACTATTGTAAATAACCCAATTAAAGAGAACACTACAGATCAAAGAGAAGTAACTTATAAAGAACATCAATTACTGCAACTGAGATGTAAAAACATTCTTCAACTTCAGTTTTCACATATCTTCTTCATGAATACTCAGAGACTTTCTGCTGCATTTGGGCCATTGAATAACCTGCCTCTATTCAAGCTTCCTGTTGATAGTAAAAGTGAATACTAGCTGCCTCAGTCTCCTCTCAAAGGCAGCATTCCGACATATATGACTCCAAAGGTTAGGCAATGGAGGACAAGTCACAGAATACATATTTGATTTATACTTTCAAAGAACATTTATACTGTCAAAATACTTTTTGGAAGGTAACCTAAAAGAAAACATAAAGGGTAGTGCACGCTTCCCATATGACAGTTTTTACAGAATCATATGATTGAGGTTGGAAGGCACCTCTTGAAGTCATCTTTTCCAGCTTCCCTGCTCCTCTAGAGTCAGTTGCCAAGGACTGTGTCCGGACAGCTTTTGAATATCTCCAAGGTACAAGGTACCAAACTCCACAACCTCACTGGGCAAGCTGTGTTAGTGCTCAGTCACTGGAAATGGTTACCAGAATTAGTTGAACCATCACCTTCCCAGGGATCAAGGTGAGGCTGAACAGACTGTCGTTCCCTGGGATCTCCTTCTTGCCCTTTTTGAAGATAGGAGTGACATTTACTTTCCTTCAGTCCTCAGGCACCTCTCCTGATCACCATGATCCTTCAAAGATAATGGAGAGTGGCCTTGCAATGACATCAGCCATCAATGAGCTGAAGGCAGGCTTTAAAGAAGACAGAGCTAGGCTCTTTCAGTGGTGCCCAGTGACAGGACAAGAGGCAATGGGCAAAAATTGAAATACAGGAGGCTCTCTCTGAACACCAGGAACACTTCTTTACTGTGTGGGTGACTGAGCACTGGCACAGGTTATTCAGAGAAGTTGTGGAATCTCCCTTCTTGAAGATATTCCAAAGCTATTTGGACATGGTCCTGGACAATCAGCTGTAGGTGACCCTGCTTGTGCAGGGGAGTTGGACAAGATGACCTCCAAAGGTGCCTTCCAGCTGCAATCATTATGCGATTCTGTGCTTGAACAGCAAAGGCATTATTGTAACTTTAGGCAAATCTTTTCTCCAAATATCTTAGACAGACAGAAATAAAAATGAAGCATGATGTGTTTCATCTGTCTGCTGTTCCCCTTCATGGTCAGATGTGGCATTGCAAGATTTTGCACTCAGGTTCCTACCAAACATTATTCACTGTGTAGAGTAGATCTCTCCCACAACTCAGCCTCAGTCATGGTTTTTTTCTTGTCTCTGCCAGAGTCCCAGTTACATTGTGAATTTCAAAGTCCCCCCAAAATACTATCCTTCTCAGTGCCTTTTCTTATTCTCACATATGGACAATGTTCATGGAAATGTTTCTTTTTCATCTTATACTTGTAAGATACAACAGCATTCCACAAAATAAATTTCCTCATGAGAAAAATAAGCAAATTCATATATCCTCTGTCTCTCCTGAATATGCCTTCAGGACCACCATTCTTGTTTTTTTTTTTTTTTGGGGGGGGGGGGGGTTGGTTTGGTTGGTTTTTTGTTGTTTTTTTTTTAAGTAGCAACAGGTGGTGATCAAACTTATTTTGGATATTGCAACCTTTATGTGGCCAGCTGGCATGTTGTCCAGCCTCCTAAGAATGCTTTTCTGGTCAGAGCTTTTCAGGGGTTACCATGACAAACATCTGGTAATTGCATGGGACAGCAAACAGCCAAGTCTTCCCTATGTTCTCCATTGTACATCTTTTAGTCTACGTTCCAAAATATGTATCTTTTCATGTTGCAAGCAACTTGCAGCATATTAGAAAAAGAAGTGTAACATGTTTTCTGTCTTTGAAAGAGAAAGATACTGGAATGGCGCATGTCTTTATAAAACAGGGAATACTCTCACAAATAAGTCTATTTCATTTTACTTGCTGCATTAAAAAAAATATTTTGATTGCAAACCTAAGTTTTCTTTTTTTAACCACTTTTCCTTATATTCTTTTACTTTGTCCCAATGCTCCGGTATTTGTTCAGAGACCCTTCAGTACCAGCAGATTCACTGATGCTCTGTAAAATCCATTTATAACTTCACAGTAGTAGTAGCTACCTTAGATGTTCTGTACACATGGGTTCCATTTTAAACACACACCAAACCCTCCACATAGGAGCTCAGCATGTTTTCAACGGCATCCAGCAGGGACCACATGTTCCCTATCCTGTATACTTTCGTGCATCCCCAGTCCCAAACTTGGAGGAATTCCAGCTACTCTTTATCTCTTTTTCATTAAGAATGCAGATAACAAGACTCAAAGCTCTGGGGAAAAAAAAAACAATGGCAAATCATGATATCTTCACGTTTAGAAGACACCAAAAAGTAATAAAATTCTGAGTCTGTGTATATGTGTACCTTGCTCAGGGTGATGTCAAGCAGTTAGTTCACAGTGGAGATGCAAACTGAAAAGTATCTGAAAATTGAAGGGCCATTCATTCAAATTGCATGTCTGACCCTAAAGCCCTCAAAGTGTAATTGTTAGAAAATGTAAGAGATTAGTTCCATGTGGCTGCAGGAATTCTACTAAAATATGTTGCCAGGGGAGCTTATGATCCAGTTGCACGGGATCATAATACTAGTTGGAGATTTTACCTTGATGTCCAAAACTATCTTTATACAATTGGCAAATCTTTTCAGAGGCTGAAAGAGGGTGAATCTGATTTTCCCTGGGATCATGCATCAAAGCATTATCATGCAGCTGAGTGTTCTGCAGAAGAAATTCTGTGTGTCCAAGTAGTCCAATAATCTTTAAATATCTTCACTGTGGTCCAATAAGCACCCATTGCCTTTTTTCCAGAAAGAGATGAGGGATGGCTGTTTCAGCAGCAAACAGCATTAGAGCAGCTGAACTTCTATTCCTCGGATGTTCAGTGTGAGGCAGAGGCAGGCTCCTCCTGACACTAAAGGTGTTAACGTGCTGGTGGTTGAGAGCTTCTCCCAACACCTTGCCCCTGCCAATCTTACTACCTGCAGCAGTAATCTAGCAGCTGCCACATCTACCACCCCACACCTACCATAGTAGCAGCCCAGACCTCTACATTGGGCAATTATAACTTTTCCCTGCTCTCCCCACCTCTGGGTAGATAACGAGCACATCTGACCACATAGCACAACTGTCCCATACCTTCCTTCTAAATTAATTCCCAATTTCATCTGTGAGTGTCCATCCTGCTCTCTTATTCAAGATTGTATCAATTCTCCCAGGAGGTTTCCCATCTCTATATTTCTATGGCAAGTAGAGAAGATCAAATGCTAATTTAATAGAATCACAGAGTCACATCATGGCTGAGGTTGGAA